GGGAATCAGGCAGGCAGGCAGGCAGGCAGGCAGGCAGGCAGGCAGGCAGGCAGGCAGGCAGGCAGGCAGGCAGGCAGGCAGCAGTTGTTGGTCCCAGACGTGAAAGGAAAGAAGAACTTTGAGGTGTTGACGATGAGAAAGAGATCGTAACATGTCAGCTCGTAGACAGTCATCGGCGAGGGATCATGCATGATGATCGAAGAGGGAACAGGCTCAGCATGTAGAGGATCTTGTTGGTGGGAAGGAGCGAGTCTGAGCAGGGCGATCGTTCCGTCCCCTTGTCGTCCCTTCCTCATCCCTTCCGTGCGCAGGCAAAGGATGGAGACTGCCAGCGAGAGCAGCGTCGACATGCTCATGGATGCCTGCGCGATCGCCTTGGGCGGCTCGCTCCCCCTCCTGCATGTCAAGGGATGCTCCGCCCTCCTGCAGCCGATCCACGACGTGCTGGACGAGGTCACGAGCGAGGACTTGGGCATGGAGCAGCGCGGCACCGACGGGAGCAGCAGCGCGGTGGAGATGTACAGAGGAAGGAGCTTCTCCGTGACCGTCCTCTCCCTGCCCCCCGGTGCGTCCCTTCCCATGCAGGACCTGCAGGTGAAGGGCGAGAGGGAGGGAGAGAGGGAGGAGGAGGAGGAGGCGGAGGCGGAGGAGGGTGAGGGAAGGAGGAGGAAGAGAGAGTGAATGCGTACAGGACATGTTGATGATTTACAAAGTCTTGAGGGGAGAAGTCAGGAGAAAAGTCTACCGCAGGGTAGAAAGATCCCTTCCTCTCAAGCGAAAGTCTCGAAGGTGGGGCAGGGAGCACAACGAAGTTCAGGTTGGTCGTCCTATGGCCGCGCGCGCTCACGAGTCGTGACGTAGCGCAGGTCTGCCAACAAGGAGAGGAGGAGATCATCGATGCCTCCACGACGAGCTCAGCCGAGCTTGACGACAGCTCTCTGCTCCTCTTCACAGCCAAGACGGCAGCCGTCATGGTGATACTGAGCTTCTTGTCTTCTCTGCCTTTCCTCCTCCTCCTCTGAAGCTGATGATCCTTGCTCAGGTGCAGGTAATGAGGACGCCTCCCGCCCCTCCTCTGCTCTGACCGCGTCCACAAAGATCGTAGCTTCTTCGACAGGCGCTCACCAGCGGGCCAAGTTCTTTGTGCTCGGGACGAAAGGTCAGGTCGAGCTGAGGACGAGCTGGATTCTGATTCCTGTCTTGCTAGCAGAGGAGGAGGAGTTGATCAAGGAGGAGGGGGAGGCAGCGCGCAGGCACGTCCTGAACCCGTTGGATAGGCCAGGGATCCCAAGGAAGAGGTATTGAAACATCTGCTCCTTCAACCGTGCTGACCTGGCTAGAAGGTACGAGGGGAAACCCTGGGGCCCTGTTGTGATCGGGACAAGAATGGAGCATAGTTCAACACAACAGCAAGAGGAGCTGAAGGAGGAGGCAAAGGAGGAGGAGGAGGAGGAGGAGGAGAAGGAGGAGAAGGGTAGGGACTGTGTGAAAGAAGAAGTCAAGGCCTAAGCTTCTTCTGTCCCTTCTTGATGTCCTGAAGATGTTGCTTGATCCTCTCGATATCCCGGTGATGGGCAGCCTCATTCTGACAAGAGCATGCGTCAGCAGCAGCAGCAGCAGCAGCAGCAGCAGGAGGAGGAGGCGATGCAGACGTGGAGACGAAAAGGAAGAGAAAAATGGAGGGAACGAGCGAGGAGGGCGGGGAGGAGGGGCGAGGGGATGGACGAAAGGAGGGGACAGGGGGCAAGAGGAGGGAGGGAAACGTGAGACGCTTTACCCGCAAGAGCATCTTCCTGACTTCGCAGAATCTTTCTCTGATCTCGACTGTCTTCCTCGATTGCTCCTGCACCTCCTCATGCTGTCTCTGACATCTCTGAAGGGCCTCTTGGTAGAAGAACATGTCGTGCTGGATCTGCTTCTTCATGTTCTCCCGCTGCAGCGGCTTCTCCCTCATGGTCTCCTCGAGCTCCACCAGCTTCTTCGTCAGATACCTCGTATTGTCCACCTCCTTCCTGAACTCCTCCTTGATCACCTCAAGCACCGCCGTCTCCTCCTCCAGCCACTTCTCCAGCTGCCGTAGCTCCACCGCCCGGCGGCTCAGCAACGCGGACCGCAGCTTCACCGCCCGCTGCATCTCGGGAGGGCAGAGCTGGAGGTCCTCGTGCGCCACTCCCCTCTGCAGATCGCTCAGCCCGATTGGGTTGTACACCGTGTGGAGGATGCCGTCCTCGTCCCTCTGTACGCTGACGCTCCCATGGATGTCGTCGGTGTTCACCTTGACCTTCTCGTGCTTCCCGTCCAGGAACAGGGTGATGGTGCCCGGCGGCTTCTTGTCAACTCTGCGGGTGATGGTCTCGTCGTTGAGAGTCTGCATGTACGCGGAGTCCAGCTGGTCCAAGATTGATACCTTCTCGTGGAGGGCCAGCGATCGGTCGATCTTTGACTGGAACTTGTCAAACATCCTGTCGCTGTCGGTCTGCAGCATTTTGCTCATCTCAACGGGTACAACGCCTGGTATGTAACCGATGGTGAGAGGGATGCCTGTCGAAGACACCAGCCTGGCATCTGCTGCCTCCCCACCTGCCCCCCTTGCTCGCTGTTGTCGGGCCATGGCCCGTCGATGCATCAGTTCCTGCGTATCTGCCAGATCTTGGATCGTGCTCGTGCTCGTGCTCGTGCTCGTGCTCGTTGTTGGGAGAGTACTTTCATCCGTGAACGTGCTTGTGTAAGTGACAACAGATGTAGAGGAGCTGCGGTTCAACGAACTCTCAGACCTTGACATGTCACCCCAGCTGCTGGGCGAGGAGAGGGCGAGCTCTTGCGGAGGGCGAGTACGACGTTGAGATTCCATGGAAGAAGAGTCGAACGAGCTGTCCACGTCTTCCAGACTCTGAGTCGCATGCGATGCCCTCGAAACTATCCCCGTCTCTGCCTCGGTACCGGACTCATCCCAGGAGGACAACCCCGAGTCAGAGTCTGCTGGCCGGTAAGAAGGTTTCCTCTCTTGTCTTCTCCCTTGCGCTACCGTTGTTGTGAGAGGGAGCCTACCTCGAGCATCGTCGCCATCGACCTGGTAGTCATCCTCCATCCTTGCTTGCGCGTCCAGGGCCAGTTTGAAAGATTTCGCCATCTCCATCACGCTCCTGCGAGTTTCTTCCAGTTGCAGCATGGAAGCATCTGGAACTTCCTCGGTCACGGTCTCTGCCCTTGACAGAGAATCCTCCATTTTCTTTGTCGTCCAGACTAGCCACTCGAGGTCCGTCCTGTATCCGACATCGAGGGCTATCATCCGCTTCTTGCGGGGGGAGGGGGTGACCATGGTAGAAGTTCCCTCCCCAGAGCCTGAGACTTCCTCCATCATCCCTCGACCGTGCCACTCAGCCCAACAGGCGTACTCTCTTGCGTCTTCTCCAACCCACATAGCGATTTCCTCCAGCCCTCTCAACCTCCAGCCCTCAGCTCTCGGAGCAACCTGCCTCTCCTCTAACGCACGTTCTCCGCTCCTCCTCGCCGTGTCTATCCTTCGCTCTACGTCTCTCCTCCTCCTCTCTGCCTCCTCCCTCCTCCTCCTCGTCGCCTTCAGCTGCATCTCAACCTTCGCCATCTCCACCCCGAAGTCGGACATTGTCAAACTTGACTAGATGAGCGGACCTCATCCCCGCTGCGGGCTGCCTGGCCCAGCTGCTGGCCCAGACGGTGCTGGGCCCAGTGCCTGGCCGCCGGGCCCACGGGGCAGTGCCTGGCCGGGCAGCGCAGAGGCCTGGCGCGTGACCGTCCGACCTGACCGGGCCTGACTCCCGCCACAGCCTGACCAGCTGGTGACGACCTGGCCTGGGGATTTCGCAACCCCGAGTCAAGTTGCGCAAAGAGAACGCAGTGGCCGGGTCTCCAGCACGACCAGCCGCGCCGCTCGTCTGTCCTTTGTTCTCTCGGCTGGATGGTACCCGAGTCCGTCACGCGGACGAGCCGGATCTGGTCCTTCCTCCCCTACCAGCTTCCTTCCTGCGGTTGCATCAGGCCCGGGTTGATCGTGGAGCATATTGACCTCGACGAGCTGATAGCGCACGTCCGAGCAGCGAGATCGCATCGCCTGCTCTCTTTCAGCTCGCGGGGGGGCCACCCTGTATCCCCCCCAAGCCTTCAGTCACAGGGCGGTTGATGCAGAGTTTCCTCTGAGCAGGGCGCAGTTATCCCCAGCTCAGCCTTGAAGCTCTTCCCGGGCTCACGGCAGCTATGCAGTGGATCTCTACCCACCCGAGTCAGCGAGTCAGCCTTGGAGTCAGTTCCCCCTGCAGCCCCTGCTTCGGAAGACTCAGAGCCCCCAGCGGCGCCTGCACTGCCTCATGACCCAGAGGAAGAGCAGAGGCGAGGCTGGTGATGCGATCGCATTTTACTATCAAGTTATGGGTTTCAGTGATGGCCTGTACTACTCAGAACATATGAATCATAGGTGAATTTGGATTGTATATCAGTTTTGTGAGTAAAATTATCCACATCCCCCCTTGTACGTGAGCATGACGGCTCAGCCTCAACGCACGCTATGAGTGGTCTACTTCCTTCACATCTTCAGCCATCTGAGCAGTTCCTGGCATCTTCATTCGCCACCCATCACTAACCAACGAACCCTCGATTGAAATCAATACTCGCCGCCTGGACCATCGACCGCTCCTCCCCTTTCTTCCACATGTACTGCTCTAGCGCTCCTTCATCCTTGACAGAGGCTATTCGGAACAACATTCCATCCTCCGGCGGGACGACAAAAACGATCCTTATCGTCCATATCTCACCTGCAGGAATCCCCAGAGCCTTAAGAGCAGTCAAGAAATACGAGAGCTTGAGAGAGTGATCCTTCGCAACCGTCAGCTGAAAAAACTGCACGACCTTGTCATCCTGATCTACAATGATTGCATCCCAGCCACCTTGAAATTCACAGATAGGCTTGAGACACACCCTCGTGTGGGGAAGAGAGTCCGTGTCTTGTGACGGATCGAAGATTACAACGAGATTGCATGCTTTCAAAACTTCAGGCTCGCTTGATCCACGGTAAGTTATGCTCAGGTCTCTTCTCACTTTCTCGAAAAAGAGCATCTCCAAAAGATACCTATGCATGGCTCGCGGGCCTCTAAAGGCAGTCAACATTCTTCTCAGTATGTCAACCGCACCCACGGACGCCGCAAGATTGCTGGCTACGTACTTGCTCACAGGAAACCTGACCACCTTCTCCTGAGTGACCATAGTAGCAATCAGCCTGTTCGTCATATCCCCCGAGGAAGCGCCTACATGGCCCCGAAAAAGATCTTGTAAGTTTGGAGCACTTTGAAGCGCAAGATCCAAGGACCGAAGCACCTCCGCCGCAGTCATGTCGAACATGTACCGACATGACCCACCTGCGAGGTAGTGCTTATGTCTCACTCGCTCTTCTTTCGATCTCGGCCGTGTAGTCATCTTGAAACCCAAAGCCTCTCCTGTCACATTCATCTCCAATGTGGGAGCCACCTTGCTGTAAAACTCGTCAAACTGCACTGCCTCTAGATATTCATCGATCCTCCATGATGCAACTATGTGCTCCTTCAGCCCCATCTCTCGATCCTCTTCATCGTAGGCCTTTCCTCGAGAAGCCATTGACGTCACTACCACAAGACGTCGATTCTGCCTGTCAGCATCCCGCCATCTTATACAAGCTACCAAAGCTCTCGTGTGAGATTCTTGGTGTGTCAAGTAGCCATCGAGCACCAGGAGGCTCTTTTTGCCGTCTGACAACCCTTCAAGCAACAGTGTCATCTGTTCCCCCTCAGACTCCTTTGCGAATGAGCATGTTCTTCTCTTGTTGCCTGTCACCTCCACGACACAAGTGTTGCTTCTGGCCTTCAGCCTGATGCATTTGAAGCTCCACTCATTCCTATCCAGCGTCATACAAAACGAAAGCGTTGTTGTTGTCTTCCCTGTTCCTGGAGAGCCTTGTATCCATCCAAGAGCACCATGCTCTAGCACTTGCTCTCGCAGGAAACAGAACTGCTCCACGAAGGCTTTTCGGCAGTAGAGAAGAAGATGCTCTCCGCTGTTTACATTTGTGCCCCATAAGTAAGAGCAATCTAGACGGAAGTATTTCTCCTCCTTGCAAAACCCCATACCGTCAAGCCGAGCTTCTGACTCTGTCCAGGTAAAGGCTGCCTGCTTCTTTTCCTTCATTTCCTCTCGAAGCTTTGCCTCTTTATCTCGAAGCTTTGCCTCTTTATCTCGAAGCTGTGCCTCTTTATCTCGAAGCTGTCTCTCTCTAACTCGAAGATGTCTCTCTCTAACTCCAAGCTGTTTCTTGTCACCTCGAAGCCGTTTCTCTCTGGCCGCAAGCTGTTGCTTTTCACCTTCAAGCTGTTGCTTTTCACCTTCAAGCTTCGTTTGCTTCATGATCAAGACAGGCTTCATATTGGGGTCTTCTGCCTGGCTGATCTCTTGCTCTACATCAGCCATGGTTTGGTCTACTCCATTGATCTTTTTCACTACTCCCTTGATCTCGTCCTCGACTCCATTGATCTTTTCCACTACTCCCTTGATCTCGTCCTCGACTCCATTGATCTTTTCCACTACTCCCTTGATCTCGTCCACTACTCCCTTGATCTCGTCCTCTACTCCCTTGATCTCGTCCACTACTCCCTTGATCTCGTCCTCTACTCCATTGATCTTTTCCACTACTCCCTTGATCTCTTGCTCTGCAGCAGTGATGGCTTGGTCTGTTTTTTTGACTTTTGTTTGTACCCCCCTAGCCTCTTGCTCTACAGCTGAACTCGTCTCCTCCTCCTCCAGCTCTCGAACTCTTTTGGCCATGGTAGCGGCAGTGGCAGCGGTGTGTATCGCAAGATAAATTGTGGAGAATTTTATGTAGAGCTATGGGATCTAGGTAGGATTCACCCGATTCACAATGTACTACACATTTGTTTTCTGTCAGGTTTATAGTTCAAACTTGATACCTAAAACGAATCCGCCTCAGCCAATCAACCGGAGAAAGGATAAGGCAGCGCAATCCACTACTGGTAGGCTCAGTTCACAAAGAGCAGTAGGGCGGGCGGCGGCGGCCCGGCTCTATAACCGTCGTGAAGTCATTGTTTGTAACGGCCAACCGTGTTGCCAAAACTTAACGGTCGGAGCCAGACAGCCCGGGACCGGCCCGGCGGCCCGCGAGTCCTTCAACGGCCATTCAGTTCGCCGGCCGCGCCGACGCGAGACTCTTGACTGAAGAGAAACTTAACTTTGAGTAAAGACTTGACTCGAGCCGCCTGGCACTGCCAGAGCCAGTGGCGTCACCGGGCCGGGGTGCAGACGGTGCGACTTCAGCGGCTCGATCATCATCCCCTTCGGCCCGACTCGAGGCCCGGTATGCCATGATCATACGTCGCTCCAAACCGGCGTCGTGAGCCAGGCGTACTAACGCGGCCGCGTATTCAGCCCCTCTTCTCAGGCGCCGGGCCGGGCAGCCCGCCTGTCCGCCGGCCCGGGGCCACCCGGCCCAGAGAGTCTGATCCGATCTAGCCTCTCGTACTGCTTGCCAAGTTGACCGAGTCACGTGAGTGACGACAGTTTTAAATTTTGAGCAAAGCGACTCAGCCTGTGACAACTTGCGCCGGCAGTCACGAGTGCCAGGCGGCTGTGGGTCGGAGGGGTAGATTCAAAGGAGTACGTCGTCGAGCCCGGTGTATCCTGTCGGGACATAGTGAACTGAGCGGGGCTGGGTGGGGTGGGGGTTCTAAAGGAAAGTCCCTACACCTCCTTTTTCGAGCCAAGTCTCGCGATTGAATGCCAGTAGGGGTACATTTCCATAGTGAAACGGGGGTACTACCGTGAAGAAAGGTGGGGTACTCCACTGGCCCAAGAGATCACTCAAGAGTGCGTGCAGGGTGGGGTAGGGGGTCTGAATTGAGTGGTGGGTGGGGTGGATGTCCTTTGGAGGCCGTCTGGAATTGACAAGGACATTGAGCTACTTAAGGGGGGTAGGGTACATACCCCCACCCCAAGTGGAACCTTTTGTATTCACCGGTCTGATGAAAGAACGCTATACCACCCCACCGTGCCATTCCGCCCCCCGTCTTCTCTTGTTGACCACCCCCACAATATACATGGCAGGCAGGGGTAGTGAGAGCAGGGAGGTCAGAGTTATGTACCCCCATTTTCACACAGGATTGCGTTTGTATGCCCAGGTGGGTAGACAGTAACGTAGAGTACCCTATTTTCTTCCTTCACAAAGGGGGGTGAAGGTACCCCCCTATGGCCTTATAAGCCCTCACCCTCCACGCACTCGCCGTCCCTCCCGCCATGCGCACTGCCGTGCTCCTTGCGTGCTTGACGGGCGCCGCGGCCTTCGCGCCGTCTTCCTTCCTCCCCTCCACCAGGGTGAGAGCCCCAGTGCAGGCTGCTGCCCCCCGTCTCCGCACTCCCGTGGATGCACGCAGGGCTCGTCCTGTCGCCGCCTCCTCGGTGCGCATGCAGACGGCCACCGGTGTTGACATTGCTGCCCTCACCCGTGCGGCCAACGAGGCCAGAGGTCTTGCCATGGACTCGATCGCTGCCGCCAAGTCTGGACATCTTGGTCTTCCCCTTGGCTGTGCTGAGGTGAGTCGCTGTCGTGTTGTCTGGGTGCGACGCGTATTTATGACAGCTTTTCTTTACCTGAGATCTGTCCTCGCTTACGTGAAATCATGCGTGGAGCTTGTTGCTGTGTGTGAGAGGAACAAGTTTTCTGTTTTCTCTCTGTGTAGTGCTTGTGAATGTTGTCTCCCACTCGGCGTCGTGCTGCTCGTGCTTAGCTGACATCCTGGGCAGATCGGAGCCGTCCTTTACTCGGACTTCCTCCAGCACAACCCCAAGGACCCCCAGTGGCTCAACCGCGATCGTTTCGTTCTCAGTGGAGGCCACGGATCCATGTTCTTGTACTCCTGGCTCCACATCTCCGGCTACAACCTCCCCATGAGCGAGGTCAAGAACTTCCGCCAGCACCATTCGATGACCCCCGGCCATCCCGAGTTTCCCAACTCCGAGCACAACACCCCGGGTATCGAGGCCACCACCGGCCCCCTCGGCCAGGGCGTCGTCAACGCCGCCGGTATCGCTGCTGCCCAGAAGATGGAGCAGGCTATGTTCAACACCAAGGACCACACACTCTTCGACTCGGTGACCGTTGCTCTTTGCGGAGACGGCTGCCTCCAGGAGGGAGTCTCTGCTGAGGGCGCTGCCTTCGCCGCCCACGAGGGTCTCGACAACCTGATCATCGTCTACGACTCTAACGACGTGACCCTCGACAAGATGGCTGAGTACACCCAGTCTGAGGACACCGCCGCCCGCTACACTGCCTACGGGTGGGAGGTCGTTACCATCGATGGACATGACATCAATGCTGTCAAGAACACCCTCGACAAGTTCCGCTCTTCCAAGAACGGAAAGCCCAAGCTTCTCGTCTGCAAGACCATCATCGGCAAGGGTATCGATGAGGTTGCCGGAACCAACGCTGCTCACGGAGAGGCTGGCGTCAAGTACGTCGCCGAGGCCAAGAAGAAGCTCGGCCTTACCGAGCCGTGGCAGGTCTCCCAGGACACCTACAAGTACTTCGAGGGTGTCCAGAAGAGACTTGGCTCCAAGTACGACGCCTGGAAGCAGACCTACAACAGCTGGAAGTCTGTCAACGCTGACAAGGCAAAGCTTCTCGAGATGCTCCAGTCCAAGAAGACTCCCTCCGCCGCGGACATGTTCAAGGCCATCCCCGAGATCTCCAAGGGCAAGGACATCGCCACCCGTGAGGCTGGTTCCATCGTCATCAACCACATCTCCGACCTCGTCCCCCAGTTCCTCTCCGGCTCTGCTGATCTTCACGGATCCAACAAGAACTACATCAAGAACGGAGGAAACTTCGGCAGGGGCTTCGACAAGACCTACACCGGCAAGAACTTCTACTTCGGAATCCGCGAGCACGCTATGGGAGCCATCATGAACGGTATCGCCTTCCACGGCCTCTACCGCCCCTCCGGCGCTACCTTCCTCGTCTTCGTCGACTACATGCGCGCAAGCATCCGCGTCGCTTCCCTCGCCGAGCTTCCCTGCACCTACATCCTCACCCACGACTCCATCGGTGTCGGCGAGGACGGTCCCACCCATCAGCCCGTCGAGACCACGGCCTCCCTCCGCGTCATCCCCAACCTCGACGTGATCCGCCCAGCTGATCCCGAGGAGACCGTCGGCGCCTACGTTCACTCCCAGCAGAGGAAGGACGGACCCACCGCTCTGATCCTCACCCGCCAGAACGTTAAGACCCTCGACTCCGTCCCAGCTCAGACCCGCCGTGAGGGAGTTCTCAAGGGAGCCTACGTCCTCAAGAAGGAGACCGGAGCCCTCAAGCTCATCATCCTCGCCGCTGGTTCCGAGGTTCAGCACGCCATGGCCGCTGCCGACGCTCTCGGCGATGGCATCCGTGTCGTCTCCGTTCCTTCCATGAACATCTTCAACAAGCAGCCCCAGTCCTACAAGGACGAGGTCCTCCCCCCCTCCTGCACCAAGCGCGTTGCCATGGAGGCTGGAGTTGGCAGCATGTGGTACCAGTACGTCGGCCTCCAGGGCAAGGTTGTCAGCGTTGAGCGCTTCGGCTTCTCTGCCCCCGGAGACATCGTGATGAAGGAGCTCGGTATGACTGCTGAGAACTTGATCAAGGAGTGCAAGGCCTACATGTAAGAGCTTCGCTAGTTGATTGTGTTTCAATGTGAATAAACGACGAAAAGAAACTTGGAAGGGATGTAAGCGAGGAAGAGGAAAGACATGCCATGGAGGAGAACACCCTGCTGCAGCAAGTGGCATGTAAACGTAAGAACTTATGGTATGAGTTTTGAGTATTCCCTCTGGTTTTCTATTTCTTTCAGTTTCACATCTTCACCTAGTACAACATAACAATTTGTTTTCTGTTACAACTTTGCCGTCAGTTGCTTCGCTTCCACACGGGCGCACTGAACGGACGAACCTGAACCTCTCATGTCATCGAGAAGGAGGGAGCCAAGGGGAAAGAGGGAGGGGGAGAGGAGGGGGCGAGGAAGGGAGAGGGAGATGAGAAGGGTGGTGGGGAAGAGAGAAAGGGGGCGGCGGTGGTGGTGGTGGAGGAGGAGGAGGAGGAGGAGGAGAACAGGTTGAGGAGAAGTATGGGGAGGAGGAGAACAGG